TTTACCAATGGAAGTAGGAATGAAAATTTCGTATTCTGCTCCCACAGCTGGAGCTTTGATGACTGAGTCAGGTAAATTATTCAGAGTGGATTAGAGGTTTCAGGTTTGTGAGCACTTCATCTACATACAGAAATTCACAGGCCTAGGCCATAATCCAGTGAAACCGAGTCAAGCTGCAGGATGACAACACCAAGCACCTGCAGCGTGAATATCCCAGCAGCCTAAACAGCAAGTGTGTATTGCTTTGTAAGTGAAAACAACTTCAAATGGTTATTCTACCAAGTTCAAGGAGCATCTATTCTACGGTACAGACAGGGAGCCAGGGTTCTAGCAGAATAGCTTTTGACTGGGCCTTGAGGCGCTTGGAGTTAAGATATTATGCAGGCTTTGAGAACTTTACAAAAAATATCTAGCCTGCCTGGAAAGCTGCTGCCTTGTGGCCACAGGTATCTCTTAGTGGAATTAAAATCAACTCAAGAAAACCAGAGAGAATTTAAATATAGATAAATAGTGTTGTCAATTTCTGTATTTACATGTTGCCATTGGTGTACGTGGCACTTCAGGCACATGACAAGGTCCCTACCCTTGATCTGAGGATTTAAATACAACTATTACACCATCTCAGACACAGCAAAAAGCAAAGAAAAACAATAAAAGGGACATTTCCAAGAACAAGTGACTCAGGGGGAGGGAAGCTGCTCTGTACTGTACTATGAAGTCATGATTGGAGGAAATAGTGTGCACTGCACATTTGCATTAAAACTGAAAATATAAAAAAGGAAGATACCCCTCAAGTGATCCCCAAAAGAGGAAACACCAAGATCAAGAGTTGACTGACGATGGAGAAATCCCAGTATTATCTAACAGGTCACAGTGATCCCTTGAGTCTCAGAGATGACAAAGATCATCAGGGAAGGGGCAGGGCAGGAGAGAGGGTTTGAGGTTTAATTAAAGGGACAGACTTAGGGTAGCGGAGCACCACTGCAATTAGAAAAACCAGACCAATTCATTAAAGAGGATTGTAATGCTGCAGTGAGAATGTGCCCCCCTGCTGCATTCTTCTCCTCTCGTGAGAAATTTGAGATTCAAATCAGCCTCAGGCTCAAGTACTGCAATATCAAACCTAATTAACTCTGCACAGGCTACACAGATTGCCAGCTTCATTTTATTCTCCTGTACAATCACTGTCCAGTAGAGCCCTCAGAAGGCATCCTGCCATTGCAAACATTGAGTGACTGAAGGTGGTCAGTCACTTGGGGTGGCTTTTAAGTTTGGGGAGGGGAGAGGGAAAGAGCAATGGCATAGATCATCAAATTTAAGGGAGAAGGAAATAGTTGAAATTTGTAATCCAAATACAGAACTTTACTACTAAGGGCCTTGAAGTAAAAAAATTGCAACCATCTGTTCCCCATTATAGTGCATGCAGATACAAATTAACTGCGACTTTCACCAGGCACTCCTAAATCTACAGATCACTACCATTCTCTCTTGTACCGCACAGCCATAATGAGCCAGCACTTTGGCGTGGGAGAGTGGAAACGGAGAGTGACTGGATACGTGTTCTCAAATGCATAGCATCTCAATGCAATCTCAGTTTGAAATCTTAAGTCGCTGTATTGTCTTGAACAAAGCTTGAATTTCTTGTTATTTATTGAGAGACGGACAATATAGAAGAGACTCAGAGACCAATACAACTGCAAATGGTATGAAATAAAATGAAATGTCATTGGGTGTCTATTTATCTCGAAGTACCATAACAAACTACCAGTCTTCTGCATTGCACTAACTATACTTAAAAAGGTTTCAAGAGGTTTTTTGCAGGGATGAGGGGATTTCTGTCCACTTAAGCAATTTATTTCCTTTTTAAAAATGTAATGCTGTGCCCAGCATTCATAGGAACTATTATAAGAGTAAGTGTGTTCCATTACTAGTGTTCACACCCTTTATGAGAGATGACATTTAAAAGGAGGAATTGCATTCAATACCAAGGTAGCTTTTAATTGCTCTCACCCCAACTAGTTGGCTCTGCCATGTTGCAAAAGTCCTAAAATCAAAACTGCAAGGACCCTGTCAAGGCATTCCCAAATGCTTTTCAATGTTATGCTGACAGGTCTCTTCTTGTAAGGAAAGATATCCCTTCTACCATTTAAATCTCTCTCTCTGTTCACACTAATCTCTAACATTATGCTTGCCCTGAAATGCGAAGCCTGTGACATTAGTTTACTGGGGTATAGCACTGGCACGTTTGTTTGGGGGGCACAGGTGGAAACAAGCCACCAAAGGATCAGACTTTGCAGGTGTGATACCAGCCAAATGTTGGGCCTACTGACTAGCACCTCATTAACAGCTAATGGACTAAACCCTTGGCTAGTGTTTCACTGTAGTCAATACAGTATTTCTTAGATCTCAGCCATGCCTTTTCATCTGAAAGTTCAGATCGTGAAAATGCAGCACCACAGGCTTCAGAGTTCCAGATAGGGGCTGGGGTCACCCACCTGGGCACACTTGCAACTGAAGGTCCAAAACAATGAGGTTGTTTCATATACTGCAGTGCCTGCTTTACTGACGGCAGGCTTAACGCATCTCGCTGACTTATCTCCTCTGGCAACGGCAATATATAATGCCAAATTCAGCAGGTACTCTTCCACTAATCCTAATGGAGTTAAGCCCATCACATACCAATGGTAAACTGGGCCTTAGTTTCTACTCAAGTAAGAACCCTCCACTGTGGGAGTTCAGAGGCTTATTGGAACGTCGTTTTCTATGAAGGTAAATGCTGACTTGCTGTTTCACACCCAGCCTGTGCCTGCTGAAGACAGCATGAACCATATTTGTTTCTTCAGCGGGAAGAGCAGGAGGGCTCCTTCTGCAAAGGCCATCCAAAAACCCACCTAAGTAGTCTGACAAGGTTCTTTGAGTAAATCTTTTATTAGACTAACTCAAATTCTTTGCAAGCCTTTGGGTACAAATACCCTGTCAGGCTGAGGAAGCATGCAGTGTGAGAACTCTTCCAATTTCAACCCGATTAGTCTTAACTGTAAAAAGGTGCAACAGTAGAAGAACAGGGATTCAAGATTAACAAAAAGAGAAATATCTTGGAAGAATTAAGCTATTTAGCAATGAACAGTGAATTTAACAGAACTTCAAAAAGATGGGCCTGCAGTCGTTAGTGTATGTTCCAACATCAATTACAGGCTCATAGTTTAAATCTTCCTAACTGTTCCCTCCTTGCAACTGTCTGTTAAACACCACAGGGTAAGGTTTCACAAGTGACACCTACATTTGCACACAGCCACTCTCAAATGCTCCTCCCCTGCCCATTTTCAAGCATAAACTGAGGGGGAAGGAACTGGAGGACTATTTCACATACACACCAAATACTCCATGCACAAAACTTTGAAAGGCCAGTAAGGCCCTGTGATGCAGAAGCAGGGGGAGGGACACTGAAACAGGTTCTCCCATTTGTAGTTCATGGCTTTGCGCGAAATCCAAGCTTCTTAGGGCCCTATCCAGATGACTAGTCTAGACACTCATATTTAGGCTTTAAGCACTCCTAAAGCTAGGTGCCTCTTGACAGTAACCCAAAACCACAAGGCTAAGCACCTAGAATCTCCACATGGTCAGTGAGGAAGAGAGTCAGGAGCTTTGAAACAGAAATCCAAAGGCCAGCCCAGGAGCTGAGGAGGAAGGCACCTTAAGCTAGCAGGAAATGGCTGGCTGAATCCTACTCCTTCTCAGAGCCTTACTCACCGCTGCACTTGAGGCACCCGAAGCCTACACTAGCACCACCAAATCCAATGCAAAGCACTGCACCCCAGCCACCCTCACTCAAAAATACATGCACAGAGGTGGTATCCCAGTCCGTCTAACTTACTAGCTAGTCACCCAGGAAGTGAAAGACTGGGATTCCAGGACAGGAGTGGGCAAAATGCAGCCCGCAGGCCAGATGTGGCCTGCCAGGCCATTCTATCTAGCCCGCAGGGCCCCTAAAATAAATTTAGAAAATTAATATACATCTGTCCCTGGCTGCCTGTCATGCAGCCCTCAATAGCTTGCTGAAACTCATGCAGCCCTCTGCCTGCAATAATTACCTGTTCTAGGCCCTCATCAACCTAAGGGGATTGAAAACCATACCTCCCACCTTCCTGGAAGGTGCCTTAAGTACTAGGCTATCAAACTGGCTGGATGGGACACACTCCATCCCTTTTTTTGAAGCTTAGTTATTGTGCAGAGAAGGTGGCAGACTCACGTGACCAAGAGAAGAGCAAACAAGAAACCCAGTGATGCAAGCATTACTATGGTGAGCAGGGTGTCTACACACGAGGTCTGGGTTCCAGTCCCTCTACTCAGACTATTTATACCTCTATTAGACATTCATTAGATAAAAGACAAAAACAACGCTGGCAGCAGGTTACACAGCATGTGGTCACCACTATTCCTCCCCCTCTAGCTTTGGAGCAAGAATGATCACAGATACAGCACTCTGTAGTGAACTGAATGCTCCCTAAGCAAGTGAATGAGCTCTGTAAGCAAGTAACAGATTGGTGACATCAGTGGGTTTAAGCATCTCCCCACCTCTGTTCTGAAACAGAACATGGAGGGGGAAGAGGAAGAAATGAATTAGACTGGGTTATCCAGAAGCCAAATCAGGGTGTGGAAAAACCCCACACGTAAGCAGAGGTACCTAATGAACCCACATGCATGCATGATTTTGCAGCTGTTAAAGGCAAGGCTGACCTAGGCTGCTTTTCGTGACTTGTGTACCTAGATTCCAGCCAAATGTCACTTAGGTGCCTAGCAGACAGATTTGGATCTGGCCCTTGGCTTCTGTAATCAGAATTGTGTGTCAGTATTGCTCCTGTGCAATGACAACTACACGAAGCACAAATAAAAAAACTGGACACGGACAGCTGATGAGAAACAGTAAAATTGTTCCCAGTAACCGGTGAACACTTTCATTGGCCTTCTATACAGCATTAGGAAAAAAGAAATGTATATACCTCCTTTTTGCTCTCCTTGTTTTGTTCAACTTCAATATCAATAGGGTTATTTCCATTCGTTTCCTCCATTTCATCCTCACTGGAAGACAAAAAATAAGACGATGCCATATTACTTGGCAAATTTTTGTTTCTCTATAACAATATGCTGGCAATCATGCATGGATACAACAATCAGGCTCTTTTTCAGATGAATTTTAAAGTCAATTACCCCTTAAATCTAAGGGTAATAAACCCACTACACTCATAAGCTTTTACAAAAATGGGTGGTATATTTGAGTAGTATCAAAAAATGTTCACACAAAGACAAAAAAGGCCACAAGCATTTGCTGGCTGGGAAAGAAAACTAGTCCCTGAATGTTTAACTTCAAGCAACCCACACCAACAAGGATACAGAATTAAAACAAATAGCTTGAACACAAATTTCACATTTTATTTAAAAAATAATCTGTTTTACCACCAGCTGGGCACAGCTTAGTTCTCGCAGCAACCAGCTCATGTATGTTTGGCACATGCATTAAAGTCACTGTTAGGATTTTTTCATGAAGGAACTATCAAGTGCAGAATGGTAATGGGGATGAAAACTGACACCATACTGGATGTGACCGTGGAATATCTGGCCAGTTTGATTTAAAATCCCAGTAAAAATAAACACATTTGGCTACAGTTCCCATTAAGGTACATTTCCATGCATTGTTCCTGTTTTTTCTATGCTGCTGCAGGTAGCTGCTTTGTTCAGTGTGGTACCCAGAAAGTACAGAAGTAAATCAACCTGGAGTAATAAACTAATTTTAATATTATTTTTTAAGGGGACCCAGTAAAAAATAATCATCTTATTTTTTTTCTCAGAGGACCCAGGAAATTCTGCAATCCAGGAAGTTAATTATTTTGTAGCAGTCACGATTAGGTCACTGCTATTTTCTACAGATCCTCTTAAAATCTCTAGAGTGCACAGTCTGCGTTGACCAGAGTCAGTCACTTACCTTTTTCATTTAGTTTATACTTTATTACATGGTGAGAAATCTGAATCCCTCTCCCTCCACCCCCTTGCCTGCTCTTTGTCAGAAAAAGACACATTTCAAGATAGTCTTACCTAAGTTCCATTTTGAATATGTTTGTGTAAGTCTCTCTAACACCCCAACACAAAGCCAACTGACAGTCTCTTCTGTGGCTGCAGTTATGGTTTAACCACACAAACCATATTATTTAGGTGGGCGCACACACACAAAAAAAATCTAGGGTTAGAGCCTGATGAACACCAACTGGAGAACAGATTTTGAAAACCAAATGACCAGGGACATTGGAGGTTACATATAAAGTCATCTCAGTGTTGATCAAGAACTTGGGAATTCCTCTATTTTGTCACAGAACAGCTTATCAGCACCCAAGGGTCCCCCCATAGCACTAAAGGACAAGGAGTGCTGTTGTACCCCTACATGAATCGAGTCCTCAGCTTTGCTGCCAAGACAACTGCCAAGAGGGGCCAGTAGTGCTAATAATTTGTGCCTGGGGAGTCAGAGCAGACAAATGGTGGTCTCTTAGCAGTATATTAGTCACAACTTAAGTAAGTGCAGTTCAGATCATAAGGGAACAATAATGGAATATAAACTAGCTTTAGCTTTCAGGCATCTCAGCCTCATGCTCAAGCCACTCATGCAGCACTACCCCTCTTCACGGAGCATATTGAGACAAATCCCTTAATTACACTACCTTATTAAAAAATGAACGGCCAAGTTAAAAACCTGCCAACCCTACATGCTCTTTAACTTTCTAAATATGGAAAGCCAACATCTGTGATCCAGCTGCTTCTCTCTCCAAGGCTGTGAAATTATCATGTGTAGGAGCCAAAGCAAGACCTTTCTCTGGGTGTGTCTAAGATGCTGTAAACTCCCACTGCAGAGGCACAGACTAGAAAAGGTCCATTTTCTGGACTTTCAGGTCCAGTTTTGTTTGGTTTGCATAAACAGGCCGTTTCAGAGGCCAAGCGAAACCTAAATTCCACTGCATTCTCAAACAATGCTTCTTCTAGATAATTATTTCGCAGCTCCCACTGATTTAAAAAAAATCTCTACACATTCCACCACATTTCTAGGGATAAAAGAGAACACTAAAATGAAAGAAAGGCTCAAGCCTAAGGAAAGCAAATCAAGTAAGGGAGGAGCTGTTTAGAAACCATATTTTTCCCTGCCTATTCAACCATTGTCATAGATACACCTGCAAGATGAAGTGTCCTGCTGACTGATGTGCAGCATGACTCTGAACTCCACCAGGAAAATGGACCCCTCCCAGAGGGATCTCCAAGGCACATGAGACAAGGCTGGGGCTCAGCAGTCCTGAAGCAGCAGCCCTCTGAAGGAAGGTTTGTGCAAAACATTATTTAAACTGGGACTGGTATCTCCAAAAGTCATACACCAAAAAGAAAGGGAAGGAAAGGAGGCAAGGTGATCCTTCAGGGTATGTGGACAGTATTTTGGAGTAGACTAGGAAAGACACCAGCTCACAAGGACAAGAAATACCTTGAACACAGCAGAATAGCCACTGCTGTGATGACACCCACAGACAAAGCTGCAGAGAACCTCTACAGCACGTCCACATGCTGAGAAGCCATGCTCCAAAGAGCTCCCAAACCTGGGCAAGGCTCGCCAAGGGACATCACAGCTCAACCTGCACTCTTGGTAATAACAAACAAGATTTGGGGCCAAACCTTGCAGGAGGGTTCAGGGGAGCTCACCTGTCAGGTTTCAGCCACAAGGGAGGGAGGTGACCATAATGGGTACCAAGCCAAATCAGCTGAAGTTCACCAGCCTAAGGAATCTACAGAGTGCCAAGCATATCCACATCCATATAATGAAAGGATTTTATCAGAATGACCACACAATCCGCATCCTCCATACTCCTTGTCACAAAGCTGGCCTACTTGACATTTCCAAGCAACAGAGAATTTATCCCTAAAACCCATCATGCCAGTAGCAGCTTTCTGCCAGGGCAAACGTGCAAAAGAAAGGGACTGCAGGACATCACTGTCATTCTATCATGTTACATTCAGAGCTCGAATCTGCCCCTGGTTGCCTCTGTGACCTCCCACGGGAGAGGAATCAAGAGATACAAGGGTACTGAAGGAAAAAAATATAGCTGTTAAACTTTGTGACCACAAATTCCTGTTGGTTATATTGGTTAAATAAATAAATAAATAAATAAATAAGAAGGCTTAACACCAGGAAGCATCTGGGGGAAATCCTTGCTTTCTTCAGGCTATCAAGCATCTGAACAGCATCATAAAGATACCTAGGTGTGGCAGACCTGGCCTTTCCTGCTGCAAAACTTACCTTTCTTCACGTTCCCTTTTTTGTTTACGAGCATGGCGGTCCATTACACTGGTTTTAGTCCTTGTCTTTTTCCAGGAGTAGTAAAATTTCACCAAGCTGGCTATTGATTTGTCAGGAAGCTGGAAAACAAAGGTGTGTATTTTTTGAAGGTTGACATCACTTGGGTTTCACCTACCTTAGATTTATTTTTGGCAGATGCTTTAGCAGGTAGCTAGAAAGTCAGTCAGCATCAAAAGGCAAGAAATGGCCATCCCTACTCTGGATTCTCTCAAGAGGGGCCACATGCTGAACATCCTCCAGAAAGGAGCCTCAGAGAGAAGCAGGAGAGGACGTAGCATTTGACAAGGCCCATATCTAGGACTCCAGGCAGATAACCCCTATGCAGAAGGGTATCAAGTACAGCTCCACCAACAGGCTCTTGGAACAAGGTTAAACTGCAAACAGAGGCACAGATAGCAAATGCAGCATCCCTGAAGTGCAAGCTACTTTTTACATACATCTTTGATGTCTGGTTAAACAGGATTATCCAAGAAATTCACAGGATGAAGTCTATTCAAATCTTGTAACAAAAGAGGCTAAGATATATATCACTTCCTTCAACAATCTAAGATAAGTATGTAGCAAGTTGTAATATATTCAGTTCTCTTATCCTAATTTCATTGTCCCATGTCTACAAAATGACAACCACACCTTAGAGAAAAGTAAAATTGTATTAACGGTGATTCTTAGTTTTGTTTGATGTGGTTACCTGCATCCTGTGACATTTCAGTTCTGTAGGTTCCTCCAAGAGCTGCATCATGCCTACTACTTCACACCAGGTAAGGCTATATGCAATGGTAATGGTAAATAAAGGGCCCGATCCAATTCTCAGTGGTGTGAGAGGGCAGGAGAGCAACAGGTGAACAGAGCCCATTTTATTCAGGTAACACAATTTCAAAGTTTGGCTTTTATTAGCTGTGTTCATCTGCAGCAGATTCTGTGCAAATTTTAAGTAGTTAAAGCTCCAGTATTGTAGGTCTGGCGCATAGACTGTCAATGTAATCTCTCCGTCACTGTAGAACAAGTTTCAAACCTTTAAGGGGTGCAAACACTGTCAGCTTCCAGACAGCTATCTCCTAGTACCTACAGGCATCCCAGTGCAATTTCAGGTATGAGGCTATTAATGATGCAGCTAATGTAGCTACAAACAGGACTGAGGCATCAAAAACACTTGCACTTGCTCTGTTAGCACCACAATCTGAATGTTATATTTCAATACAAGCGACTGTCAAAGACAGTTTGCCCATCTTAAGTCCTACAGGGCACCACATGCAAAGTAACATAGATCTGGGCAGGACTTCCTGGCTCACCAAGTCCTGTCCCCTGCTGATGCAAACAACAGCAGAATAATCCCTTTCGTATATAGGGATTCTCAAAAAATATTAGAATTAAATGTTAATGTCTTGTAATGTGCATTCACAAGGGGACAGATGGATGGTATTGCATGTTGCCAGAAAGTCTAATTGCTTTATCATAATCAGCCAACACAAAGAGCCTTTTCCTATAACTGTGTATATTAAAAACCTAGGGACCTGCGGAAGGGGAAGGAACTTCACACACTTGCACTTCAGTACTTTGATGATAGTCAATAAAGATTACCAACTGCACATCCAAATCCTATAATCTGGAACAGTGTGGCTGGATGTCATGTTACAGGCCTGCATGAGAAGTTCCTGAGGCAGATGAAAACGAGGTTTATGAAAGTAAACCCTAGAAAGATAAGCAGCCCATCTTACAGCACAGAAGCCATGGTTTGCACTACTGAGCAAAGTCAGCAATGCACAAGCACTGCACTATGGTTCTTCGCTGCACATTTTACAAGCCAAGCAGAGACCCAGTGTCAAGCACACTGCATAGGTATGAGCCAATTCTCTCAGGGTCAGGAGTGTCTAATCAAACCCAGGAAGATTTACCTACTGACTTTTGATCAAGAAAGACAAGTTTCCAAACCAAGTTTCAGCTTAGTGTGCCCAACTCAAGGGCTGTTCAGAGAAAGGTACAAGAAGTTTTGGTAACGGAATTTCATCTTGCTCTCTTCCCGCAGTAAATAAAAAGATCTTTATTTCCCCCCTCCCCAAAGGAAACAGTTTTCAGCCCAAAAGATAAAGATTATGAACAACTAATATTGACAAACCTCTACTATGTCACTGACCAATGTTCACGTTATACGACTTTGAATATTAAGACTTATGAAATAATCATCAAAGAAATGTGATTCTTAAAAAAAAAAAAAGGAAATAAAATCCCAGAAGAAAAATTCCTGGGGCCACAAACTGTCTTCATTATGTATGTTTGAGCAGGTGTATGTGAATGTACATATACCATGTTGAGCACAGGGTCTGAAACCTGTATTAAAGCCTCTAATGATACTACACTACAATAAGCAGCATACCTAAGAGTGGCAAGTCAAAGGCACTTGCATTTTCATAAACAGAACCATTTCTTGAACCTATAAGAGAGTCAGGCTCTATAAACAGACTCAACATCAAATTAAGTGTTTTCTAGGACTACTTTCAGAGAAACAGAGTAATGAAAGGAAGCAGAAATAATGGTTCCTTTCTACCTCAAAATACCAGATAGCATTTCAAAGACCTAACAGTCATTTCCAGCTTTAATTGTCATGATCATACTTACCATCTGTTGAATTCTGTGAAAGGTTTTCCCATGAAAACTAAAAGCCTGTTCAAACAAGACCTTATCTTCCACTGTCCACTCATCAGGGAACGGAGTGAAGTTGGGCAGGTCAGCCAAGGATTTCTCGATGTTGTGCTTATGCCAAAAAAGCATTCCAAGGGCCTGAAAGGAAAAGAAACAGGGTGACACAAGAAAATGGAGTCACAAAGTGTTTGGGGAGGAAAAAAACAAGATGTACATCAGACCTTACACGAATGTAAGTAATCTGTGGTTTGGGCAGTATGCAACAAGAGCTACAATTCTGATCACAAATATTAATCGCTATGAAGCTGGAGCGACTCAACCAATTACAAGAAACTGATCTGACCACCTTCATCTGGATTCTACAGATTAAGTGAAACCTGGAACATATCATGTAGACAGCAAAGAAGAATAGAGAATAGAAGAGCTATGCCATTACCAAAGGCTGCAGCTAAGGAAGTGAATCAAGAGACACTAGAAAAAGCTTCGTAATGAATAGGCTGGAAACGTGAATTTACAGCCTGTTCCTACATCTCTGTGAAGCCTATAAAGAAACAGAGGAGTCAAGGGATGGTATCTACAGAGTCAGTTCCATCAACCACAGTTGTGGAAACCTGTAGCAGGAGAAAGGGGAATGTAGATTTTTGGTCGAGCTAAATCTCCCTGCTAATGAGTCACACCCAGAAAACTAAGCAAGGAATAAAGGAAAGGTCTAGAAAGCATAGGCAAGACCAAAACTACACTAAAGGAAGCACAGGCCAGCCAGAGCATGACTTCCTGCTCATGCTGGTGTCCCGTTATCTTCTATTCAGCTGGGAGGTTCTTTCTGGGGGCGGGTAAGTTCTTTATTTGCTGGTGGGGCAGCCCCTGGCAAAGCTGGGCCCCATCTTGCTCATTTTGGCGGCTGCTTTTGGGGGCTGCTTCCACTCGAGTACATCTCCTTTTCAATATTGCAACCCCCAGTTTCCGGTTCAGACATGAACTGCACACACTGCACTCCTACCACCTGCAAACGTTTCTCCTCATGACTTCTCTGAAGCATTTTAACAGAGTCACACTCAGAAGGTGCATGGCTACCATGGGTTCTGACACACTGCTCCATCCCCTTCCAGTTTCTTTTGTGCCAGTGACCAACCCAGAGTCATTTCAGGAGGGCCTGACTCCAAGGTGTTAAAAACATGTCAAATGCAATTTGCAGCTTGTTTTGTAATAGCTGTTGAGTGAAAACGATCCTGGATCCGCTGACTAAAATGGAACAGAGTAACCTGCTTGTCATATGCAAAAACTCCCCTACTGTGCAGTTTCGTCCCATCCATTGAGGCTGGCAGCGTACCTTTAAGGCAGAGGGGATTCCCCACCCAACTATGCTATGCAAAAATACAGTTCCTTTCTGGGCACCAACTTCACACACCAAGACATTCTCCAACAGTATGACTGTAACACACTTGCCATGCCCATCCCTCTTCCTCATGCAACTAGACTCTCCACATTAAATATCTAGGTAACTCCACCCAAACCCTCCCCTTCAGGCATTTCCTTTTGCTGCAATACAGACGATGACAAAATCTCAACATGGGATAGTTTGTTAGATCTCAGGAGTTGACAAACCTAAGTAGACAGCTGGGTGAGAAGAACTTAACAGGCTAGCATGGCAGCACAGAAGAAATCTTATAAGTATTAAGGGGTTTTTATTTTGTTTAATAAGATGCAAGTCTGCCTGTGCAACTCCCTACATGACCCCTGTTCTTTGTTCAGTGAAACACGCTGTATCGTGAAGGAACATTCTGGGAGGGGGTAAAGCAGTAAATATGATTATAAAAGGGGAGGTTGGTATATGCCAATCCTAACAAGGGGCATGGAGTAGAATAATGGTTTTTCTCACCAGCCCTTAAAGCTTGCAGTATTTTAAAATGTAGACATGGCTATCAGCCAAAACATGTTCAAATGTGCACAGGTGATCTCCCCACCAGCATGATCAGCAACAGTGCTGCCAAGCTCAAAGCCGTTTTATCCATTTCTCTTTCTGTAGAAGGAGTTTGCACTACTACACATGTGTGAGCACTTGCACCCACCTGCCCCACCTTGTTCATTTCCATGGCTTAGAGACTAAGCACTGCTAAGAAACTCTCTGGGCTTGGGCTGGCAGGCAAGCCTAGCTAAATGCCGACTTGGCTTCAGAGATCTCACAGGCAGCTTTCTAGCCTGCTTGCAGCCAAAGGCAAAACCGTTTCATCTTGTTGGAGCTTATGTGTATGCTGTGGCCCTATCACCCCCACCCCACCACCATAAACAGGTCAGTGTAGGATCCAGCCATAGGGAAGAGGTAAGAGGAGACAAAACAGGGGAGCAGCAAATAGGTCATGAAGCCCAACAGACTGCCAGACTCTAAGGTATTCGTTTGCCCTGCCAGAGAAATGTCTGGCTGTTCCCTGCTCTTGCCTCAGCAAGCTGTTTCTGAAATTGGTAGCGGGGCAGGAAAAGTTCCTCTAAGTCACCGCCACCTCTGCTACCTTCATGCAGTGAAGGCAGTAAAGTCTGCCAGGCCACTGCATCCTTTGCCAAGATCTTCTAGGCCTTATTTATGATCTAGGCCTTGTAAGTTCTCCCCTTTTTTAGACTCAAGGAATCACAACAAGCATAAGGCAACCCCCTCCCTAAATTCTGTGAATTGAGCAGCATCCCATTTCCAAAACGAAATCCTATTTAATTAGAGGGCTTCTTGTAATAATTCCAGAGAGGCAAGGTAGCGGGAGTAGGGGAACGGGCAGGCATGGACTGATGCCACAGCACCGTGGGTGACCATCATTCTTTTAGGCTGCCACCTCTGCTGGGCCCCATGGGACTAGTTCCCAAGAGGATACATGTTTGGGCAAGTGCTAGGGCAACAACCATGGGCCAACAAGCAGTCAGCAGTGAAAAATCCTCAAGCTGGTGCTTAGATTTGAGCGGTTCCCCCCATGTGTCCCACAGATTCCCACGCTGTACATGAACCTGATGATTTACTGAAAGAGGGGAAGTGCATGAGGAAGTCTCCTTGGGAAAGGCCTTTCCCAAGACACAAGTTGCACAACGTGGGTGAGAAAGTGCATTCGCTTGTTAATATCTGCAGTTATTTCCTAGTGGGGTTGGGTTAATCCGAGGCATGTCATGAAGGAGCTGTGGAAAGTTCCCTCCTATTTGCACCTGTTTGAGGCGAGTCACCATGGAGAAAGAAACAGGGAAACTGCCACAGCAGAGCAGACCATCTGTCCATGCGTTCAGACAGGATACCGGACAACAGCCAGTGCCAGGTGTTAGACTGCTCCGCAAGAGTGGCATCAAGAAGAGGCCCATCACAGATGCAACTTCAGCCTTAAAAAAAGGCATAATTGTACTTCTGAAACGCATGTTCAGATTCCTGGTCAGGGCTTTGTGAAGAATCCTTTGCAGCCCTCACACTGCACAGAGGGCTGTTAGGAAAGAAAGAAGCCATGAAAAAAGTGGCTGAGGGGAGGACAAATTTCTTTAGCACAGAAATGAGAAGAGAGCTGGACAGAAAGCAGCCATTCATTTCACAGGTCTCTGTAACCCTCACAGTAAACAGAGAACTATTACCAGCCTGGCTGATTGCAGGCTCAAATCATGACAAGTGAATAGGGTAAGAGCAGTTGAAGAGCTTAGCAAGTGTCATGACAAGCTGGCAATTAAAGCTCCTAGTTATCAAGCTTAATGAATCAATGTCCCTTAAATTTCTACAATGTCTACCTACCTCTCCCTCCCCACTGTCCCACCCGAACTCTCATCCCACCCACCACAGGCACAAGCTGAGCAGGGGTCAGGAACTAAGTGGTTTTTTAAGGGTGATTTTTTTTTTTTTTTTTTAATTAGAACTCAGCTTTTTCTTCTTTGTTTCTAAAAATATTGAGCAGTTGCTGTTAATCTGCCTTAGCTTTGCTACAAATGTCTAGCAGATCCTTCATCTGCTTATGGTGTGAGCTCTCACCTTAGCCAGAAAACACCTCTTCCTTCACTATGTCCTTTTGTGTAGCTAAAGGAAAAATGTGGCTTTGGTCATCTGAGCACAACCCCTTCCCCTCTAAATCACTTATCTTTTACTCTCATGGTTTTTTGCACAGTTATTTCACTGACACCCAAATCACTGTAGACTTAATAAAGCCCAAGACCACTGGTTTTCAAACGAGGATATACATATCCCTGGGGGTACACAGCACTTTGCCAAGGGGTATGCACCTACATTTTAATAACAGCAGTGGAGCTTCTGACTAGTTAGTGCACAGAGAGTAACAGCATTGCTGTGCGCCAATATCAGTGTCAACATTTGCTAAACAGTGAGCATGCAGAGTTGTGTCAGGTGTAGGGGGTAACAAGCAGTAATATTTCACAGGTAAAGGTCAGGTTGTAGAGACACCACCTCAATTCTTGATATAAAATAGCAGAATCCAGCCTTCCACTTTCTTCCCCTGTTCCTATGTAACTATATACAAGGCACACTACTGAATCCAAAATGGTTTTCCATGTGCATGAAGCTAGCCACCTGTCTCAGCATTTTTGTGGATGGGCTACAGGTATATGAGAGGAGAGAACACGCACACACAAAATCTTGGCTTCAGTGAAGGAACTAGAATGTTGTCATGGACAATGGTTTCACCCCTAGACTTTAAGCAGCCTCCAACAAAGAAAAAAAAAAAGTGTTCAAGAGAAAAAGTATTTCACCAAACAAGATCAGTCAAATTGCAATGCTGAAGCCCAAAATCCCACTGGAAATAAGAAAAGAGCTTTGCAAGACATCACCAAAAGTGCCCTTTGTCCTTTTAACGATTATCATTGGCAGTAAGGATGAACTGCGTGACCCGAGAAAGAAGCATATCATTACACTGATGAGTGATAGCAAAAAAAAAAGCTAGGGGAGAGGATGGGAGGAAAGGAAAGAGAACCATACTCTGACTGTTCACTCTAAATCATATTCTGATACCTATTAAAAATCCACTCTAAAAACAAAAATTCAACAAATTGCTATGTTACCTGTTCCATGTTGTATCCATGCTTCTCTTTAGCAATGGCAATGTATTCATCCACTGAAAAAAAAAAAAATCAAGAGAGACTTGTTTTGAAGATATTTTGTATGCAGGTCTCACTCCTCCCACAGCCCCCACCAACACTTCTATCCTACAACCAAGATTTTACGTAACCTCATAGCTCAGCATATAAATAACAAGGAAGAAACCAAATTACCTCTTACTCACATTACTCACCATAATGGTTTTTCAAGAACTTGTAGGAAGACTATCATAATTTATAAACGCATGCAAGCAGTGCCAAGGAGGACCAACTATGAGGGGCTTTTTGGGGGGGGGGGGGGGGGGGGGGA